TGTGTGTGTGTGTGTGTGTGTGTGTGTGTGTGTTTTCAGAGGAGTGATGCACCTCAGTGTTGGCAGCTATGGGATTGAGCCGCTAGACTCCGCCACCGACCAGCACCTGGTGTATCGCCTGCAGGATGTGACATCACAGCCCCGAGGGTGCCAAACGCCGCACTACGAGCACGGCCCCAACTCTACAGAGCGTGCTCAGGCCAGCTGGGAGGAGATCCCTAACGGGCAGCACAGACGGGTGCGTTTTCCGTCACGCACACGGCGCACGCTGACTTCCTGTACCCTGAACTTTGACCTGTTCCAGCTCTGGAGTCATGCCATCATTCCTTTACAGTTTATGTTGACTTTACATTGACGTCTCGAGCAGCGATGTTGGCGCTCCAGCAGCGTGAGCGCCGCCGTGCGCTCTCAGAGAGTAACCGTGTTTCTGTTCCAGGTGAGGAGAGCCGTCCTCCACAAGACGCACTACGTGGAGCTGCTGCTGGTGGTCGACAACGAGAGGGTGAGAGCACGACACCGGGTGGAGGTGGACTGCTGCGGCGGGCGGCGTGTAACCGTGTGCTTCTCTCTCCCCAGTTTAACTTCATGAGCAGGAACGCGACGGCAGTGAGGGAGGAGATGGTTCTGCTCGCCAACCTCGTGGACAGCGTGAGTGTCACATGTTTCCTCCACGGCTGAGCTAGCTTTGTGTCACACGGCAACAGGAAGTGACTTTCCTTTCAGCCCGTTTGCTCTTGTGTGGTTAAAAGTAGGAATAAATCAACAAATGTCTTAAAACCCTTTGATGTCCTCACCAAGGAAAAAGCAATGCACATTTTTTTGTTTGCATTTCTTATTGATTTGGGGAGTAATTCTTATTCTTAGTTAGTGTATTGTCTGTCTTGTCTTAATGTTGGTTTAAAATGGAGCACTGTAACAAAAAAAATAATTTCCCCCAGGGATTAATAAAGTATTCTGATTCTGATTCTGATTCTGATTAATAACCACAATCAATAGTTTAGTTTTTAAAATATTGATCTCTACCAAACGGTTGAGATGCCACTTAATGATAAGAGTATGAAATGTCATGCAAACACAAGTACATTAGATAATACAGCTGAAAAAAGTCAAAGGGCCAAATTCTGATTATATTAATGGAAACTATCCAGGGCATTGGATGGTAGCATTCAGTGAACATTTCTGTTTTCATTCCATCAAAGGAAAGCATTACATCAAACAACAAAATACATGTGCTGCATCCAGGCCACTTCTGACTGAATGCTACTGTGCAAAATAAAAACAGTGCCAATCAGCACATCTGCTTGTGGTTTTGGTCGTTGGGGTCTTAGGGTGTAGCTTTGATTCTGTGGTCTTGGAGAGCTGGATCAGGGTTGACCAGTTCTACATGCTGGCTTGTTAACTTGTAACTTATAACTTGTCTTATACAGGTGTAATAGCATACCAGAAAGTTTAATTCCTCCCATATGCTAATTATACACAGGGATGGTGATCTTTGCGTTGGACTCTTTGCTCCACCGTTTGACCGATGAAAGAAGCACGAACCCACAGGCCTTGTTTAGGAGGTTGACACATTTGTTGTCAAATCATTTCATTGCAATCAGACCTTCATCAGACCTGTAATCACAGGCTGCATGGCCGCTCTTCATCAGGTCTTTGTCTGCCATCAGTTTGGTCATACAGTACCAATGCACCTGACACCAGAGGAGGTGTGCAAGTTCTGGACCAAGCAGAAACTTGTGAAGAACCGAGGTTCTTTGATAGGTTTGCAAAGTGTTGTTTACAGCTTTGGCCCCTTAGAGGGAGCTTCTGTTGCTTTCACTCAGGGGAGCATTGAAGAATGTAGATCCTCCTCACACAGCAGCAAGTCGTGGATGATGCCAGATGAACAATTTAAAGCCCCACTCATCTGGTTTGTTGGAAATATACTGGTGAGGAGTGCCAGCTCTTGTGGCTCCATATGAAACCATGACCTCAAACACGCTGTGGTTGAAGGTGGATGGCATCATGAGTGTCATGCCACAGGACCATGTGATTTTTAGCCATATAATTGTTTAGCGTCCATATAGCACAAATTATAATTTTGAAAACTTACTAATATTAATTTACCAGCTACGGTAATTTGGTTAAAAGCTAATCAGTTGTGATATTCTTGATTTTTACAATATTTACTAATATTAACTCAGAAAGTTACAAAACTGACTTACTGAGGAAATTCTTTCAGCATATTCTTGCTGTGCTAACACTTAATGTGATTTATCAACACTGTCATATATCAAAAAATTATATCTTCATGCCATAGTTTCATCAAAAACACTCAAAATATGTTGGACGGTTTTTTGCTTCTGACTTCCTGTTTGGGAGAGGTTTAAGAAGAGCCCACAGTTTCCACTCACAGCGCCTCCTGGTGGCTTTTTTTTGGCGTTACAGATGAAAAACCAATTGGTAGAAAAGACTCAACAAGGCAGGTCAATGTCAGTGAAAGCCTCAGTTAGGGCCTGAAAATGTGCTCTACCAAAGGTTGACCGGAACGCTAAAGGGTTAAAATGAATAAAAGCATAAATAAGAGGAGTGTGTGTGTGTGTGTGTGTGTGTGTGTGTGTGCAGATCTACATGCAGCTGAATATCCGGGTGGTTCTGGTTGGTTTGGAGATCTGGACTCAGCAGAACCAGATCAGCACTGACGGAGCGGCTGGAGAAGTCCTGAATCGCTTCACCCAGTGGAGGGAGAAGGAGCTGGTTCCTCGCCGCCGCCATGACTCAGCACAGCTCATCCTGTCAGTACACACACACACACACACACGCTGTTTCTGTTTTGTTTGTTACTGCATGTGATTGGACCGTGTATCAGGTGATGATGATGGTGTCTGTGCAGGAGGAAGAATTTCGGACAGACGGCCGGGATGGCGTTCGTCTCCACTGTCTGCTCCAGGAGTCATGGAGGCGGGATCAACGCGGTACGCCACCATGCGTGCAGACTAAATACATTCAGTTTTATGAAACACACCAAAAACATTGAAATGATTGTTTCTGCGTCTGTGGCGTCGATTTCACTGAATCGCACGTCTGGGAAAAAGAGAAATAAAAGATCTGGATCCTAATGACAGCTTTAGAAGGAACTCCATCTCCCAGGGTGCATTTCAGTGAGACGTGACTGAACTGTGCTCTGTGTCCTTCAGTTCAACAACAACCTCGTGGTCTCGTTCGCCTCCATCGTTGCTCACGAGCTCGGCCACAACCTCGGCATGAACCACGACGACGGCCGACAGTGCACGTGTCCCACCGGCGCCTGCATCATGAACTCTGGAGCCACGTAAGACGCTCACGGCGAGCTACGCCGCACGCTCACACGTGCCCGCACACGCTCACACGTGCCCGCACACGCTCACACTCACTCCTAACGCGTCTCCTCTCTGCAGAGGGTCAAAGAACTTCAGCAGCTGTAGCGCCGATGACTTTGAGAAGATGATCCTGCTGACGGGGGGGGCGTGCCTGCTGAACGTCCCGCGGCCCGACGAGGCCTACAGCGCCCCCTACTGTGGAAACAGGCTGGTGGACTTCGGGGAGGAGTGCGACTGTGGCTCAGAGAAGGTGTGATGTGTAGAGGATGAGTTAGACATGCGTGCCTTACATTCGATTTGACCCACTTTGATACGACGTGTGCCGAAACGGCGGCGACACTCCTGGCAGTCAGGGCCCGCCCAGATTCAGTGATTTATTACACAACTCGAGCTACTCGTCAGCAGGAAGTCCAACATCTACGCCGTCCACGTGTTCCACAGCTGTGCGGCGGACCAGCTGGCTCACGGGCCTTATGTTTGACATCCCTGTTTTATATTAACGTGTCACTGTTGTTGAGTTTTCCTGCACACAGAAAATGAAGACAAAAAAGTTTCACTTTGTGGGTCATTTTCACATCTTTGTGCGATTTTCTAACGTTTAAAATGATTATACGCCAGAGACAGAAACTTCCTGTTTAAACCCGGTCACGTGATCGACCACGTGTGTGTCTGTGTGTGTGTGTGCAGGAGTGTGAGGAGGACCCCTGCTGTGAGTATCGGACCTGTAAGCTGAAGTCTGGAGCTCAGTGTGCGTACGGCGAGTGCTGCTCCAACTGTCAGGTAAACACAGCGAGCCTCGTGACACACACACGCGCGCGCACACGCACGCACGCACGCACGCACGCACTGTGTTGGGCTCTGTAACTGTGTGCTTGTGCGTTCAGTTCCTGCCGGGGGGAACCGTGTGTCGCGCCAGCACAGATGAGTGCGACCTGCCTGAGTTCTGTAACGGCTCCTCGTCCTTGTGTCAGAGCGACGTCTTCATCCAGGTGAGGTCCGCTGCATTTACCTGAGCAGGTGAGCTGCTGGCTGAGCTGTACTTCATCACATCTGTGTGTGTGTGTGTGTGTGTGTGTCAGAACGGGCAGTCCTGCAGGAAACAGGAGGCCTACTGTTACAACGGGAAGTGTCAGCACTACGACAGCCAGTGTCAGGCCATCTTTGGAGACAGTACGTACCTCTGTACGACTTCATCTTCTCTCCTCTCCCTCATTACTCAGCAGCTGACCCCCCCTTCTCGCCCCTCCTCCTCCTCAGAGGCGAAGGCGGCTCCTGAGCTCTGCTTCAAAGAAGTCAACAGCAAAGGAGATCGCTTCGGCAACTGTGGCTACCTCAACAACGGCTTCAAGAAGTGCGAGAGCAGGTAACACACACACACACACACACACACACACTTCCTTAGGGTCCGTCCCAGTGTGAGGAGCTGAGACTGATGATGTCACAAAGTTCAAGTCCCACGCAAGTTAAACGCACCTCCAGCTTTGACCTGATGGTGGCGCTGTGTGATGTGTGCACTCCAAACCGTCACTACACCTGTGTCGCTACCAAACCGGGAAAACCTGAACAAACTCCATCTCCCAGGGTGCATTTCAAAGCCCCGCCCACATGACTGTGCTGTGTTCAGGCGTCTTTCCCACAGTCCGTCTTCGAGCCTTCTCCTGAATCCTCCGATTCTTGTCGAAGTCGCCGCTTCCGTTTTCCTCATCGTGTTTGTTGCCATAGAAACGCCATGTGTGGGAAACTGCAGTGCTCCAACGTTCAGGCGAAGACGGTGTTTGGCATCGAGCCGTCGATCATCAGCACGCCAATCGCCGGAGGGAAATGCTACGGCGTGGACTTCATGCTGGGGTCGGACGTCCCCGACCCCGGGATGGTGAACGAAGGGACCAAGTGTGGAGAGAACAAGGTGAGGAGGAGGGAAGAGGGAAGGGGATGAGGAGTGAACAATGAGGTGTTAAAGCTCGTTTCTTCTTCTGCGGCGCTCAGGTGTGTGTGAACTTTGAGTGCCGCAGCGCCGACGTCCTGAGCTACGATTGCGATGTGCACACCAAATGTCACGGACACGGGGTGAGTCGCCTGCCTGTCCTCCTGCCTACCTGTCTGTCAGGTGAGTCACATGACTCAGGTGTCACCTGTCTGTGTGTCGCAGGTGTGCAACAGCAACAGGAACTGCCACTGCGACTATGGCTGGGCTCCGCCTTCCTGCGAGTTATCGGGTTACGGTGGAAGCGTTGACAGCGGACCCACGTGGAACGGTATGTCACCTGGAGAACTCTGACTTACCTGAGGGCAGGCGTCCCGTGTTAACGCGCCTCCTGTGTGTGCCCCTCCCCCAGATAAGGACACGTCTCTCAGGGACGGCCTGCTTGTCCTCTTCTTCTTCATCCTCCCGCTGCTCGCTCTCGGCGTCTTCGTTTTCCTGCGCAGGAACGAGCTGCTGCGGCGACTCGGGCTGAGCCGCAGGAAGAGGTCTCAGGGATATGAGTGAGTGCATGCACACACACGCCGCCACGGCCGCAGGAACCACGTGTTCTCTGTGCTGCGTTTAGGGACACTGAATATAATTGTAAACCATTAGCTGCACGTGTGGCGCTGCTCTCACGCTCATGTCTCCCTCAGGGCTGACGGCATGGCTTCAGCCAATCACAGCAGGAGACCGCCTCCCAGAGCGCAACCTCCATCTGTTGCCCGGGGTAACGCCAATAACATCGTCAGAGACGGGGTAAGTTTAGGGTTCACATGAGAGTTTAAGTTTTCCCTCGTTTTACACACACCTGCCTCACCTGTCCATCCAGGTGTGTGATGATGTTTGTAGCATCAGCAGTCGCTCCTGCAGCTTTACCCGGTTTGTTCTGTGTGAGCAGTGAGCGTTACAGAGACCCACAGCAGCAGCACTCTCAGTGGGCGTGTCTACAGAAGGTTAAAATTAAAAATCTTCAGGTGGACACGCCCACACGGCCTCCTGCTGCTGCTGCTGATGATGATGATGATGTTACTAATGACACAAACCTGCTGTGACCCTGCTGATCAGGAGGCTGAGAATGGAGACGGTGATGATGCTCTCCCGGTAAGCCTCAGTGTAGAAGCTGAAGTTAGATGTAGTGATGAGCACACCTCAGCACGAGAGCACCAAACACAGTTATTGATCACTGTGTCGTTAGATGACCTCACAGGCTGGACGATCAGCTGATCGCTTACAATCAGTGACAGACTGTACTAACCAACCGAGCAGCTGATCTGCATCGATCAGCATCTAACTGGAACTGAAGCGGCTGTCTGCACGGGTTATTGATGAGCTGATTAAGCTGTGTGATTAATCACTTTAGTGTGTGTGTGTGTGTGTGTGTGTGTGTGTGTGTGTGTGTGTGTGTGTGTTGATGGACTGCATGAGCTCTAACACGCTCTGCTCTCTCTCCATGTGAAGCACCACGCTCAGCTGCTGCCACCACAAGAGGTAAACCCTGCTTACTTCTCATTACCGCTCTAACTACTGCTGCTGATGTAGTGTTAGCTTAGTGCTGCGTGTCTGCAGGTTAATCAGCACAGCAGGAAACTAGAAAGCAGCTTTCACTAACCCAATGACATCAGGTAAACTGGGAGAGTCAGACAGGCCAGGTAGATCGGTGTGAGGGTTTGAATGGGACAATGACTCGCAGGTTTACCCAGGTGTACTTCCTCTGTGTGTGTTCAGGTGGTGGAAACCAGCCGGACGGCTCCTTCCCATGCTCTGAAGCCACCACCGCCTCCTCTGTAAGAAGTCGCGCACCACCACATGCACCGAAACACAAACCGAAAACAATCTGAGCACAAAAACTGTCAGTCAAACCTGAAATGTGGAAACTTCACTTTCAAACTAAAAGTTGTATCTTTTTAAACATTTGACGCGACAGCGTATGTTTCCAAAAAATACAACTTTTTGCATTAGCTTCTAAATGATTTGATCTAACTTGATGTTAACTAGTTATAGAAGCTAGCCTTAAGCTAATGATTCTTAGAAGCTAAATTTAAGCTACTGAGCCTTAGATGCTAACTTGAAGCTAATTGGACTGGACAGTTAATGGAAGTCAAAGCTGTACCTGTGGCTAATGCCAAATCGACTGTATTTAAAAATAATTTTAAGCCAACTGTGAGCTTGCTGGTTACTAAAATGCAATTTAATTTTAAGCTAAATTGTCTTCTACTCTTCTAGATTTAATAAACTTAAAAGCTGCATTTAAGCTAAGTGGATGTAAATATGAGCCAGATCAGGGCTCTAGGCTAACTTTTTGCCATGCGTGCACCGGTGCGCCTAGCTCAAATTTTTCAACCACATCGCTTAACACCGCAGTTTTACATGTGCACTTTTTTTGAGGGGGGGGAAGTTGCAGTCCATACAGACAATATTCATTTCTAAAGTATTAACTATCAATCTTGTGCTTAAAGTGCGTTGGCACTCTTTGTCAATATTGTAGAAAATGTTAAACATCATCTCGGCTCCTCTGACGACCTGTTTGCTGCTGAAAGGCCGTGGGCAGAGGGGACACTCGGGCATTTATCGCAGCATATAATGTGTTTTCTGGACACACTGCTGCTTTTTCAGCATTCAGAGGTTGATGGCACCGTGTCAGAGCTGGCTATGAATTTCAGACGGATCAGGCCTTAACTTAACAAAAAAGTTATCAATCGTTCTTTTCATCTTTTCTTATCACCCTCAGCTGCATCCACTCTGTCAGGCCTAGGCTGCTCACTAGGGCTGGGTACCATCACTGATTTCTGTAATCCTGGGAAACTGTTCTTGAAGTACAGAGAGAGAGAGAGAGCTGTGCATGAAGTGTGATTTTTATCGTGGTGGAAGCAAAACTGATAAAAGAGGGAATTCATGACAACATTGATCACATGTGAAGCGCAGTTTGCTGCTTCTTTTGCTGCTGGCTCGGTGGATTTTGGTTGGAGAGACAAAACCTGCAGCTCAGAATTAGCGCAAAAAGACGTAAACGCAGCGCGGAGCCGACGCATCAGAATCGCTGAGCTCCGACAGCGTGTCCGTCTGCGGGCCGTCAGGTGAGAAAGCCGACAAGACAAAGCTGATTCTGATGCGTCGGGTCTGTGTTTACGTCTTTGTGTGGAGTCCGTGTACCTGCTCTTGAAATAGTTTTGTGAGCTTTAATCTGAGAATCTGGCGTTTCTGGCAAAACACAGTTATATTTAAAAGTCGATTCAGGATTTAATGAATCGATATCGCTTTATTCAAGATACTCACCTCCCACTTCCACCTGCACTTTCAACTGGACCACGGCCAATCAGAGAGGTCCCGCCCCTGACTATCTCTGATTGGTTTAGTCCACGATAGGGGCATAATGTGTGTCTGTTGTTGACCACACGGAGAGTTGCAGAGATTTTTTTTTTTTTGTTACCCGAACACAGTTTGGTGGCACCGGTGCGACCAAATTTTTTTTTAGTCGCACCACTGAAACATTTGGTCGCACTGAGCCCTGAGCCAGAGGAAGAAATTTTGTTCACCCAGTAGCAAACTGACTTAATTCATATATTAACGTTAAAGCTAACTGGACTCAAGAGTAAAAAATTTAAAACTAACTACACACAGACACGAGCATTAATTTAACTTGACAAAGAAAGAAACTAGCTAATGTTAAGCTAATCCTAAACTGGATACAGCAGCTTACTCCTAATAGGGCAAAACTAGATGGCCATAGATGGATAACATTTATAAGCTAGTCTTTAGAGTGGCTAAGTGCTAAGTGAACCCAGAAGCTAACTGCTGGTGTAGCTGTGTCTCTGCAGCAGTTTGAACTGTGGCGGAGTGATACATCATCTCAAACAGAGCGTGCACGCTGTGGTGTTAGTGGCCAGTCACAATGTAAACTCTTTTTCTTCTTCTTTCTTGCACAGAAAACCGAAACCTTCTGCTGCGTCTCAACCTCTGGTGCCTCAAAGACCTGCACCCGCGCCTCCTGTTTAACCAATCAGGGGTCTTCTAACGACACCTGGATGACCCCCCCCCCCTTCTACTTATCTTCAAACCCTTCCCAGCGAACTCAGAGCTAGTTCCTTAACAGCCAGGAACAATTCTGTAGCCACGATAACCAGCTGGCCAGACTGCACGGCCATCGCAGTGAAATGGATCCAGGTGGACCGGACGAGAAACTTTGCAGAACCTCCAGGAACCCAGCAGGTCCAAGCTGGAGCCGCTGCTCTTCTCTAACCTAACCAGGCAATCGGATTGTCCTGAAAGCACGAGTTCTTCTGATTGATTGGTTTTACGAAGCCTGCTTAAGTATTTTTAAACTTTCTGATTTAGTCATGTGACCTTTCAAACAAAGTATAGCAAGTATAGCAGGCCATGTGGGCCTCTCTCTCTGATTGGCTGGTTTGTAGTTGTGGGTGGAGCATGTATCTGAGCACTGGTTTGTTTCTTTTCTGTCTCTGAATGAAAGCACTGATAGCGCCGCCCATCTGCTCAGCACTGTTTTAGGAATGTAACGCGCCCTCCTGCGGTTGTGTGCCGGTGTGTTTGTTTCTATCGTCTGGCTCGCCCTGCGTTCGCTCCCTCGCTCTTCACAGAACTGTAAATCTACGATATGCAAACAGCGTCTGAGCGCGTAGCTCCTCTGGTCTCAGTTCGTCATGCAGCATGGCGCCGTCTCTGCAGGGAACGAACGCTCACTAGGCGAGGCTGCTCGGTATGCCTCTACTGTCCAGGTATTTCCACCAGTTAAAATATGAGTCTGAGCTTGCAAAGCATTCTGGGAACCGTAGGCAGTCACATTTGGTACAAGCAAAGTGGATTAATCTGTCAGAATTGAAACTAAATAAGATGAGTTCAGACCTGCACTGAGAACATGTTCACTACAAGTCTGGGATCAAACTGAACAGCAGTACCTACCAGCTCCTCCCAACATCGTTCATTTCTTTCTTTCAAAGACTTTAGAAAACACACTCATTCCTGATTATTGTTACCAGTGTGACTGACTCAGTGGAGCTTTTTTTAAATCTGTCGCTCTTCTGTTAAGGTTGAAGCTTTTTGTAGATCCACATGTTTCTTCTGGGGGGACACAGACCCCGTTTCACCAGTGTTTTAAAAATGAATTATGTCCAGTGGAAGCAGAACTTTAGCAGAAACATGAACTTGGGTGCAGCCTGCTGAGCATTCACAGAATGTGTGACGGCGTCTGAAGGTGGAACAAAGTCCTTGAAATTCTTGGCAATAATGTCCCGAGAGCGTCCACGCTTCCTGTCCCGGGCGAGCAGCGATCACGCTGAACTCTTCCCGCATTCAGGGCGTCTGATTCAAACCAGGGATTTTTACACCACCGGTGAACCAAATGCTTGCGTTCTGCAGCTGACGAGCCTGGATGCACTGTGCTGTGTAGCCACGTTGGTATTTTTAAATGCCTTTTTTCACTTACTTTGCTCTTTTGAGGGTTTTTGCACAGAAACTGAGGACTCCGCTGAGGATGTTGATGTGTTGCTCACAGGGCTATCTTAGTGCCATTTGACTGTTCATGCCAAAAAAATAAACCGTAGTCTGTGCTGAGCTCCTGAGTGAAGACAGTCGGATGCAGTTATTTAAAGAGCTGAGAGCAGCTGAAGCTTCAGGTTACAGGCAGCTGCTGACTGCAGCGTTTAAAGGGGATCCGTTCTTATCGTTTCCACCTCTGCACTTTGTCAGAGTAGCTTTTCATGATTCACAACTTAAATGAATCCAAATTTCTGTAATGCAATCAAAGCTTCACCTCACAAAGCTTAAAGTTAGCTTAGAGGCATCTCCACGGTGCAGTTAGCTTCAGGTGCAGAGTCAGTTTGGAGTTTGTGGGATGACTTCGCTCATAATTTAGCAAAGTCTCTGCTCCTGTTAGCTAGCTGCCTTAAAGTTAGCTGATGTGAAAGGTTTGTGGTGTATATGCGTTTGGAAGTTTGGCCATGTTAAATATGAATATTACAAAATTGTAAAATCAAAACTCTTGGTGCTCAGCAGCCATCTTGGTAATTTAAAGTGTTTATTTCTCCAGGTTAAGCTGACTTTAAGACCCTAATTTCATGAAATTGGGTGAATACATGTACTTTTACCAAAAACCCCAAACAGGTAAAAGGTCACAGCACAGCTGGTGGTCCAGGTGGAAAAAGCTTTAAGTGTTATTTTGGGTCAGCACAGGCCAACGTGAAGCGGTCCCCTTTAAAGCCAATCAGACATCCTCAGTGGGGTTACATTCATACTGAACCTGTGTAAAAGATTTAATTTTCTGTTATTATGAATGATTTAATCATTTCTTTTTGCTTTTCACCTGTAATCTGTGGTCATTTGAACATTTAATTATTAACGTTGCTGTGTGGCGTGGAAGCCTCCGCGCTGACTGATGATTTTTATGATTCGATGGATGATCTCTCACCTGTTGGACAGGTTCAGGTTGTTACAGCCAGTGGAGCTCAAACTTGTGCTGCTTGCTGTGAAAACCAAACCTGGAAGAATAAAGGTCCTTCAGCTGAACATGATAATTTAATAAACTCTGTTCATACAGACTGTGATTTGTTTGCTTTCAGACTTAATAAAGGTGCACAGAAAATAGTTTGTCAGCATTCAGGTTCCTGTTTGTGGCGACATCCATTTAATATACAGAAAAGCACTCACAGGCTGACTGCAGTCATTGTCACACTTTCAATTTGAAAAAATCTTTTTGAAATTCAAAGTTGTTTTAGAATTGTACAGGTTTTTTAAAAATATATTTAGGACCAAAAGGGTTTTTTAATGTCCTGATACAATAACTGTATTTTTAAATAGTTTTGTGGAGTTGGGGCATTAAAATAAAATCAAGCCGTACTTTTTTTCTATTTTTTAAACTGTTATTTTAGACTTAAGTTGTTATTTTTACTGAAATATTTAAAAAAAAAAATTAAAATACTGTTGAATGACTTTTTCCACAACAAACATTTAAATAAGTATAAAAAAGATTCCTTGTTAGTGTATTTGTTTAGTTCCGTTTGTAGTTTTTCTACAGCGGGACCACGCCCCTTTCACTGTACGTGGTGACGTCAGCGCGAGCTCTGCTCCTGTGCTCAACACATCGAGCTGTCATCATTTTACCGGGAGAAGCGAAGGGCATCCGGGATACCGACCGAGAGGGAGCCCAGCACTGTGCTTGGAGGTCAGTACCGGGCATTTAGGGGGGACGCTGGGCCGTGAGCGAGGACACGGTCCGACCTGCGGGCTCACTCGGGGGCGGGTTCCGGTTTTGATTCGTGGAAAATGAAAACCGTCTGGACGAATGCGAAGATGCCTTGTTAGCCTGCTAGCCGCGTGCTAGCCGCTACGGCCTTTTAAAGTAACATTTGGAGCGAGGCCGTCCGTTTAAAGACTCCATAAGCGGAGCAAACGCCTCCACTGAATGCAAACACAGAAACTTATTCAGAATGAAACTGCTAATAGCTGTTAATTTAAAGCAGGGGCGTTTTGTGAAGCTAATCAGCTAATTATATAACGCGCCGCGTTAGCGCTGAAGCTAAGCGTGCAGCTAAGAGTTTGCGCAGTGAGAGCCGCTCCGTGTGGCGTCACACACAGCGGGTTTTAGCCATTATGCATTCAAAACAGATGATTTTACGATGTCTGGGGAACACGGCCAGGCATTTTCGGGAACTCATGACTCGTGAAAGGACAAAGTGATCGAATGTCCGGGTGGCCAATAGAGAAGTCTGGATTTCTCAGAGGCAGCCAGTCAGGAGGCGCGGTAGGCAGGTAGTGGGCGGGTCCAGGCAGGGTTAAGGGGAAGGAGAGCAGGCTGGGAGTGGAGCCCCAACAAGGTCAAAACAAAGCAGAAAGTCCCGGTGGGTGGCGAGAGCAGGCCCGTGGGGGGCTGGGAGGTGACCCCACCTCCCAGAATGACACGGTTCCGGTTCTGTGACTGGGTTCTGAGAAGGCCTTGGAGAACTTTAACTCCTTGAGTTCTGTGAAGATCTGCAGAAAACTTCAGACTTGACCCTGTTCGCAGCGTCAGCACCTGTCAGAAGTATAAAGACACCCAGTGTGACACTGATCTCTGATCAGCAGTCTGCGGGATACATGCGGGTTTCCAGCATCTGTGCAGCTGTTATAGGAAACGGCAGGAACAATATGACCTGCGTGAGTTACAGCTCACTGTTTTGCAAGTTGAAATAAAAGGCAACACCAGTTTAAAGGATTCCCATCAATCCAGAAAACTGCTGGGAGTCACATGACCAAAGAATTGAGATGTTCAACTTGCGAAGAAGAAAAGCTCCCAGGATTGTAATAAATATACTTTAACTAGTTTGGTGTAATTATCTCAGGCAGAAAACATATATTGTTTTTCACAAGGTCATAGAAACAGGAAGTGCAGACTCTGCTCACTGTGTTGAGCTCACATTCACACTCTGCTCCGTTTTGAGCAGGACAAACCCTGCTGACCTTGCAGGACCTCTCTCAGGGCTGTTTTGTGGTGGAGTACCTATACGAGGCGAGGTACTTTGCTCTGGGGCGGGTATTGTTTGAGATATGAGCTCAGCAGTCACCAACACAGCCTACTGACCAATCAGATTTCTGGAAAAGAGCGTCACCCTTACTGGAAGATCCTCTGTGTAGACAGTCAGAGGGTCTGAAGGTGTTCTCTTTATCTGATGGAAGAAACTCAGGAGGAGCTCTGCTGCTGCGTCCTGACCTCATCAACATGTAAACAGACTCTTTGTCCTCTCAGAGCATTTAATGCCAAAACTAAAGATTTTTAATTATGAGAGTGGCGAGAGGGTTTTAATCACAGGCGTCTGTTCAGTCACAATTTTACTGGTTTCCTTCCTGCTTTGGATAAACTTTATTAATCCAGCAGCTGTTTTCCAGTCTGACTGAGCAAAGCTCACACATTCATGCAGAGTTTTTAGGCCTTTACTCTCTCACACGCATGTGCATGTTTCTGATTGGTCAGAGGCTCCAAACTGTGTCTCTTTCATGTGAACACTGATAAACCTGTCATGTGACCCCGCCCCAGTGTGATTGATAGTTAGCGAGTGAAGCCAGATATGGAAAGATATCCTGGATACGTTGACCCTCATGCAGGCTCTCTGCTGGTTGGTGAAATTTAAAACAGCAGCTAAAAGTCAGACATGGTGTGAGGAGGCTGTGCCGTTTTTATCAATAATCAAACTGTAGTCGTTATTTCTGCAGTGTGTTGTTCTGCTGTGCTTCACAGAATTTCCTCAAATCAGGAACTTCAGACCTTTAAAGGAACAAAAATCAGAGGCAGAGACCTCGGTGTTCTCGTAGTTTCACAGTGTTTACCTGGAGAAGGGTGAGATGGCACGTCTTGTGTGTGAAAACAGCAGGTCTGTTTTGAATAAACTTTATTGCAGGGGAACAAGGTGTTTTTGTTTTCCTTCTGCAAGTGCAGTCATGTGACTGGGCTGGCTGGCTCAGACAGCGACCTGCACAGAAAGTAAAAGCGTGCAATGCACCGATCTTACAGGTCGTTCCTGGAGCGCGGCGGAGGCCTCTGATGTCAGGAAATGTTGCTCACATGTTTTGGACTGAAGTTCATGTCTGTGATGTGATTGGTCAGTGATCTGTGACCTGGCCCTGAGCCGGCTTCTCGGGGCCGATTCAGCCGGGCGCCACTGATTACTGAGTGCAAAACCACCATTAGTTCATGTGACCGTTCCGCCTGATGTAAAGAGATCTTTAAGCACTTTTAACGTGTCTGTCAGGCTGTCAGAGCTCCAGCAGTCAGACTTGAAGCCTCTGTTCATAAGGAGGTGAAGTAAGTGCGAGTCTGACAACTGCTGTCTGTAAATCTGAACGTTAGCATCTTTAAATCCACTGTGCCGCATTTCTGAGGACGCCGTTTGTCAGGCGCCGCAGATCAGCCCTGACTCTGACATCGTGTTCCTCTGCAAACAGCAGCTCGAGTCGGCGCTCGCAGTGTTATTAGAAGCTCGTCAGACAGAAACCGCCATCGTTAAATCCTAAAGCACAGCTTTCTCTCACATCTCATTTGAATAAAGGTGACTGTGGTCTGAAGAACGGGGGCTAATTCTCTCTCTTCTTCTCTCAGTGGACTGACGTGGACGTCTGACTGCTTCCTGTTGTGGCACTGACCTGCTTTTTTCTTCTGCGTCGTTGTGAGGTCGAGGACGTCCGGACTGTCGGACCGAAAGTCACCGCCGTGTGTGATACTTTAAGGACTGCTCATGCATCGTTTAAGGACTTGTGCGGCGCGGTTGCGTCCGCTCACCGCCTCGCAGGCGGCTCAGACTGTCGGCCAACAGCGGCCAATCACAGTCACCTCCACGGGTGGCAAAAGGACGTTTCAGCCAATCAGGTGTTACACAGCACCGGTGGCCTCGGAGCCGTTCCTGAATGGGACAAGCTCCAACTATGTGGAGGAGATGTACTACGCCTGGTTGGAAAATCCCAAGAGTGTTCATAAGGTAAGGAGCAGTGGAGCCCCTGCAGGTGTGGAGTGGTCGGTGCAGAGGTTGGTTTGATTTTACTGCTGGCAGCATCGATGCAGGACAAACCCTCCAAAGGACTTCAGCAGCATTTCAGTGTAATGGGACATAAACCCAGAACCCAGAAAATCAGAAGTTAAAGGTTTGGTGATTTTGAACACATAAAAACAGCTGCACACCCAAAGCACCTGCACCGTTTCCACAGTATTGATAGATTCCACACACAGAAAGAGTCCCACAAATTTAAACCCTAGTGGGAGTGTCCTTTAAGATGGTCGTTGACCCACTGTTGAGCATGCGCCCCATCCCATGAGCCGAGGTGTGGAAAAGGGTGTGGGCCACTATCAGCAGAGGTTTCGGGTGAAACCATTGTGAGGCCCACGTCTTTCAAAATGATGAAGATAAAAGTTCAGGGCCCTCTAGCAGCCCCGGGTCAGACAGTTTTAGGCGCTCACGTATAATTTTATATTTTTAAATATTAATATGATGTTTTATTTCACTTGAAATGTAAAAAATAATGTTCTGAAATAAAGAAAGTGTCAGTCTGCCGTCGCCCTGACTGAAACCGACTGAGCTGATACTTTCACTGCACATTTGTCTCCGTGTAAAACAAGCAGCTCTGTTTTTAGTGGCTAACGTGGAGGAAATGCTCGTGTTTACTGAGCCGTGCAGTAAACAAAGCATTTAAAGAATTTGCATGAAGCATTTTTAGAAATGTTCCATTATTTAAAACTACCATCACAGGTGAATCTTCTCTACAAGCATGCTTTCTTCTGATTGGCTGGATTCTGGAAGTACGGAGAAGGGCAACAACCACTCTTAGCGGGTTGTACGGTTTTTGTCACAGATCACCGTATAAGGAGATCTGTGACGAGCTGATGTCAGCATGGCACGAGTAGAAACAAGTGGAAGTGAATGTGTAGGGCAGGCTTGACAGGAAAAACTGCATCGTTAGCTCACCGCTATTCGCATTATGTCGCTAAACTACTGAACGCTCGGGAAACGTTGGCCAAACCAGCAGTGGCACATTTCTTTATTTTCTCCCCGTACTTCATTTCCTGAGGGTTCGATGATAAACACGATAAAATGTGAGAAATGAGCAGAAGATTAAAATGTGATTGGTTGAAAACTGAAGAGAAGGGCGGGATTAGTGAGTGTGACGCTCCAGCTGGGTGGAACCTTTAAAGAACACGCCGTGCTTCCTTGTTAGTGACAAACATGGCTCGTTGTGTCGCGACGCACGGCGCTGGCGTTCACTGCTGGGAGGTCTCCATGAATGTCCTCCAAGAAACATGAACCACAGCGTTGGTGATTCACGTGTTCACGTCGTGTGCCACCGCTGTGTTAAATTACATATGTGCTTCTGATTGGCTGGTTCGGCCTGCAGTGAAACATCTCCTTCATGTTGTCGTGCAGCTGGTCCTGGTTCTGCTCGGGGACCCGTCCACCTCTGACGAAAAGCTGCTGCAAGATATCAAGGACACGAGGAACATGATACAGGAAGTGTGGGGCCCGCTGGTTAGCAGTAACAGAACTCTTTCAAAATAAGAGTGAAGCAAGTGTTTAGTGGGGAAACTCTTGAGGCTTCGATGAGTCAGATTAAACAAAAAAAAGCTCAGATGAGTGTCGTGTCCACAAAAAGCTGCTGTGGGAAACAGTGGTGTGCATCTGTTTGTAATGATGATGCGTGTGTGTGTGTGTGTGCAAAAGTCTTGAGCCACTCATTTCTTTGTATTTTGTTTCCAAGGAGGCAGGCGTTCTTTAAAGTGCTCTTGAGCAACAACTCTCCAGGTTTCTGAAGCTCTTTGTTGTTGGACACTGTAATGTGCTGTAGTGTGTTATGAGGCAAACTCAGAATAATAATATGTGGAGAATCATACAGGTTTTACTGCACAACAGGAACATGTGGAACATGCTGTTGTTGATATCTGGGACGAAGGACGAGCATTAAAATGTGTTTGCAGGCGTTTCCTCCTGTCCACATTCTGAAACACATTACAGCCACACTGACATGTTCAGTGTGCTCTGAGCACATGTGACCAGTCATGTGACAACATCCTGTTCAAGAGTAGCAGCTGTGTCAGGACGGCGCTTTAAAGGGTTTAAAGCAGGGGTAGGCAACTCCGGGCCTCGAGGGCCGGTGTCCTGCAGGTTTTAGATCCCACCCTGGGTTAACACACCTGAATCACATGATTAGTTCATTACCAGGCCTCTGGAGAACTTCAAGAAATGCTGAGGAGTTATTTAGCCCTTTAAATCAGCTGTGATGGATCATGGACACATCTGAAACCTCCAGGACACCGGCACTCGAGGCCTGGAGTTGCCCACCCTGGTTTAAAGGGTCCGTTAGTGCTTAGAAAGTCTGAAATAAGCTCTGTGGAGACACATGGAGACAATGCGTTTCATTCATTTTAGCAGCAAAAACAAATAAGTACAGTATACCATCAGCGTTATGTAACAGCGGTGGTTCATCGGGATAATCAGTGACGTGGACTGTAGACTACAGGAGCCTGTGGGGGCAGTGTCACCTGTGTCACCTGCCAAGACTCGATGCTAAGAGGAGCGTAGCACGAACGGCAAAGCAGCTGGATGGAAGAAAACGGAGTCAGAGATTTAAAAGTGAAAGAATTTCACAGGAAACTGAAGATAAATCTGCATGTAAAGCTCCTGTGATGTCACCTCTGAGTGGGAGAGTCACGTTCATGTACGTTAGCTAACCTGTCATGACGCTCGCTAAGCTAACATCACAGTTTAGTTAGCTAACGAGTGAAATGTGATGCAAACCTCGCCTCTGTCAGTGCGCCCCAGGGCAGCTGTGGCTACAACGTAGCTGCCATCACC